AGTTGGTAACCTGCTTCTAGTTTCAAATCTGCCACTGCCTAGCTGCATGACCTTGGACAAGCCTCTTAATTTTTCTCTCCTCGTCTCAGCTATAAAATGAGGGACTCAAACATTCAAATCAGTTTCATAAGCATTTATTGGGCACCTTCTCTGAATGAGACATCATGCTCAGCCACCTATAAAATCTATGAATAGCGTCGATGAGAAAATATCAGAGCAGAGCAAAGCAGTCCCCTGCTTGTGGCAAGGTGAAGGAGAAATCCCAAATAGCCAACTTCATTACATCATCTCAAGGAGCAATGTTTGTATATACACCAAGTGTTTAATTTTGAGACATTTGTGAGAAATCCTTCACCATTAAGGAATCAGCAGATACAGTTCTATTAACACCTATCAACCCTGAACCTTCCAAAAAATAAACATGTAAAATCATTTTGCACCTTAGTCAAATGGCATGCTTCTGGAGAGAAACCTGGGAAAGTCAAAGTTATTCACGCTCCCTATGGCAACAGTTAAGAATAGGATGTGTAAAAAAAAGAAAAGAAAAAAAAAAAAGAATGACATATCTGGTTAAAACTGCAGGGGCGAAGGGTGGGGGGTGGGAGGGAATTCCAGAAGCAGAATGCAGTGCATCTGGACAGGACATGGAGGTAGTGGCCTATTGTTTACAAAAACAGGCTTGGGTTATGAACAGGGACAAGAGGCCAAGACCTCAATTATCATTCACAACCACACCTCTCCCAATCTCAATTCAACTGAAGCTATCCATCAGTCAACTCCCCCATCTTCTGTCATAAACCCACCAATATTTGTAGCCAAGTGGAGAGAAGGTCTCTCAGGGTACCTCCAGCACTGACCAAGCTGATGACATGAAGAAGATCCTACAGGCACAATGGGGCCTTCAAACTACCTCCAACCTTCTAAGGTATTAGACAGCTGCCCATTTCAAACTCTTAGCTCTACCCCACCCCCGGCAATCATTGGAGGGGAGACATGGCCCTTTCCATGTCTTCTATGATAGGAAAAGGTCTCCTTGAATTGGTGCAGGGAAAGGCGGGGACCCTCCCTCTGTACTCTGAAACAAAGGAAAACCCAGAGCTCCAACCATGTGGTGTAACATTCAAGGCCACCCACCTCTCCCATTCCCCAGCGGAGGAGGTCTCAATGGGCTAGAGCCACATGGCTCTTCCCAGTCACCGGCCAGGAAGGGACAGGGCCTTGCACAAACACATGCTGGGGCTCCTAATCAGGGGGAACCCCCTCCTACAGGAATTGCTGGTTTCAAAAAGAAAAGGGGCTTTGATTCACAACCACACCTCTCCCAATCCAAGTCCACTAGATGTGAAGACAGGTCCTTTGGTTTCTTCAGATCCACATTTCGCTTTACCCTTCACATTTTTGCAGATAAGTGGGTCATTAAAAGCATGTATTTTCAGAGCAGAGGGTGACCATGCAGAAAATTAAACAATTATGTCTTCCCATCCTCCAGAATCAGCACCACCCAGCAAGCCTAACACCCCAACTCCATTCAGGTTTAGGCGAGGGCGGAGACGGAATGTGAGTGACCTTATTCTTTCTGTTCTCTGATCTTTGGCTGAATGCAGGGCAACCACAGACCAGGCAGGCACAAGGTGCATCCAAAGTGGCTACCGACTTTGTGTGTCTGATGCCATAGCAAATGTCACGTTTGGATAGAGTACATCAGGAAAAAAAACCCACCTCTCTCAGGGCTCTCCAAAAGGTACACATTCTCAAGGTTGCCTTTCTCTGCCTGGCCTCAACTCCAACCTCGGGTACACATTCTCAAGGTTGCCTTTCTCTGCCTGGCCTCAACTCCAACCTCGGGAATAAATTCCCTAACACCTGTCAGATTTCAAGAAACCTGACCCAGACAACCAGAGGCAAATTGCCGCCTTTCTCTCTCCAAGAACCTCCCGCCCCTCCCCCCACCCTTTCCAGCTTGGGAGAAAGGGCTGACAAAAAAAGGGCCAGCTCTACAAGAACAAACCCTAAAGCCCACCCTGAAAATCCCTTTCCTGAGCCTGTAGCCCCTGGCACTGCCCATCTCTCAGAGGCTCAGATCCACCTATGAAACCACCTCTGGGGTCAGCCTGCCCCCACCTGCTCCACCCAAAGAAACGAACCTCCTGCAAATCAGGGTGGAAATCCATGCCTCAATGGCCCACCCAGCATATGCATTACGCTATTTTTCCAAGCCCTTACCTTTGACCTGAGTATCGTACTCTGCTATGATCTCCTTATCCTTTTTGAATTTGGCCGGAGACGTCATGTTTTCCTTCTTTCTTCCAAATTCGAATTGTGAATTGATAGATCCACGGGAAAAATCCAACCACCTAAATCAATACCTCCAAGACCGCGTCTCCTGAAGGCAGAAGGGGCCCACCGCGGTGGTCTCCAGCGCTCCGGGGAGCGCGGGCTGCGGGCTAGGCAGGCGGCTACGGCGGGCACATGCAGACGGTGGGCTCTGGGGCCGGGCGCGGCAGCGGCTGGTTCCTGTGCTAGAGCCCGAGCCGCAGGCTCAGCATTAGCCAGGAGAACTGCAGCGCCCGGAGGTTGGCCTGGGGTCTGACATCAACGACACAGGCAGGGAGTGCAAGTCCATCCGCACAACATGGTGTGGGGGGTGCGGGGGTGTGGACGCGCCCAGCAGAGTCCCCAGGAAGGGGAGTGGGTGCGTATCGGGGTGCCGGTTGGAGGACTGGGCGTGCTTCGCGGTTTTTTGTTGCACAGGCTCGAAGATGCTGCAAATCAAATCCCAAACGGGAGCCGCAGCACCACGGACTGGATCGGAAGTCGTTTGCTCCGGTTCACTTGCCTGTAAATGCAGGGATCAGGGGAGGGGGTGATCAGCTCCAGAGCAGATTCTAATCGCTGCGGGGGTGGGGTAGAGGGCGACACTCCCAGCCCGGCCCAGGCCCATTCATCTCCGACCAACGCCGCCCGGCCAGGAGAGCTCGGCGGCCAGGCGACGTGGGGAGGAAGGAAGCTCCCTCCGGATTTTGTTTTAAGGCTGCAAGAGAACACTTTGGAGCAGCCGCCTGCGCAGGCTCCGGGTGGGGACTGCGGCGGGAACGCGGGGCTCCGGGCGGGGACTGCGGCACCTCGGCGGCCTCCCGAGCCCCAGCAGCGCTGGGCAGCAGCCAGCCGGAGGGAGCCCTCCCTGCCCAGCCTCCGACGCGGCCCCTGACCCCCAGCGGGGCAACTCCCTGGACATCAAAGGGGATCAAAGCGGGGAAGGGACAAGCCACCCGGGCACAACTTTTCTTCCCCTGCCGCCCCTCCTCCCGGTTGTTTTGTTTTTGGTTACTAGCTTCCCTTGGCAGCAAAAGGTTGGGGGGGGGGGGGGGGATCTGCAGGAAAAAGCCTGCTCGGCAAGGGACACAGGGACACATCCAGGAAAACAATGTGGTCGGCAGAAGCAGGAAACGGGTTAGAGGCGAGGGTCGGACTCGGGAAAATCGGGAGGCGGGGGGAGGGGGGCGGAAGGCAGCCGTTGGCTGCCCCAAGACAGAGTGTGTGCCAACTCTAAAACCTATCGACCACATTTTTTTGTACCCCACTCCAAAAATCCCGGCTCGCCGCGGGCACCCGGGGGTAGAGAAGAGGGGGACACCCAGAATTATAGGGTGTATTCGATGTTAGCCTGCGGGGCAGGATATATACCCCCTTGTCCCTGCACCTGGAAACAGAAAAAGAACCCAGAGATAGAAACGTCGGTCTCGGCGTCAACGCGTTCTGGCTACGGGCCCCCTCCGCACAGGGTGTTGTTGTCATTTCGATAAGAAAAGAAAAACGAGACCTTTCTTAGCCCGACCCGCTTCTCCAAAACTAATAGGCATGTCTCGAATTTGTGGGGCGATAGTGTGGGAGGAGAGGTGGTTTTGTTTTTTTTGCCACCG